CCTTCCTGCAGAGCCCGCACCAGTGATCTAGCCCAAAACTGGGCATGGAATCGAACTGTGACCTCCTGGTTCATAGGAATAAATAAAATAAAGCCTCTGATAACACCAATATTTGGGTCATCTCTGGGTCTTCTATTGACTGTTTACATTCTTTTAAAATATATTTTTTATTGATTTTTTGCAGAGAGGAAAGGAGAGAGATAGAGAGTTAGAAACATGGATGAGAGAGAAACATCGATCAAGAGAGAGAGATAGAAACATCATTGATGAGAGAGAATCAATGATCGACTCCTTCCTGCAGAGCCCGCACCAGTGATCTAGCCCAAAACTGGGCATGGAATCGAACTGTGACCTCCTGGTTCATAGGTCGACGCTCAACCACTGAGCCACAGGAGCCTGGTGATTGCTTACTTACTTGACTATGGGTCACCTGTGCCTAAGGTCTTTGTGTGTTGGGCAGTTTGTATAAGAGTATAGCAGAGACTAAAAGGAGCATGCCCCTCAGGTCAGGGCTGAATCAACATGCTCTGCAGTTGAGCTGAATGTGGACTTTGCTGCAACATTAGTTTGATTCAGTTCCCCATTGGCTTCAAACATTTTGAGAATGGGGTCAGGACTTTCTCTTTGGCAAGGCCTGGGATGAGAACCCTGGTGAGGTTCTGGAGATCTTCTGAGCTTCCTACTTCTTTGAACTGTGGAGTGGGAGAGATTTCTCCCAATGTGTGGCCCAGGCTGCCAGCTTTCTGGGTAATGCGGGGGTGGGGGGACTGTCTTTGTTTTCCAGTTCCACTCCATGCTCTCTGAGCCTTGGCAGATCTTTCAGCCCCACCCTGTCTCATCCGCTCTATAGTTTGTAAAGTGTAGGAGGGCCTGGAAGGGATCCTTTCAACTCTCCTGGCTCTCCCTTCGTCTCCCCAAGCTGGGAATTTTCTCAGCTCTGCTTCATTGCCTCTGTTCTCTGAGTAGTACTCTAGCACTACTAGGGTAGCAAAGAATGGTGGGTAATGCAGTTTCACCCTGTCTCTAGGAATGCACCGTCCACTGTGGCAGCTACTAGTAACATGTGACTTTAATTTAAATTAATTCAAACTAAAATTCAGTTCCTCAGCCATGATGGCCACATTTCAGGTGCACAACAGCCACATTTCAAGTGCTTGACAGCCACACTTGGTTAGCACACACATAGAACATTTCCACCACAGCAGAAAGTTTAGTGGACAGCGTTACTCCAGGGCTTCTCTGGATTCGAGTCTATCCTGACAGCCCTCACACAGTCACAAAACATTGGTTAAAAGTTAGGCTGATTGCTCCCTAACTCCTCTCTATGGTAGTTTCCTCTTTTTCAGTTAGGAGAGAGCAAGACTGGATCACCTCTCTTATGAAGGTCTTGGCACTTTCTGGAGTAATTTAGATTTGTGTCTTCAAGATCTCTGATAGCTTTTTATTTTTATTACTAGAGGCCCGGTGCATGAAAGCGGTGCATGGGGCAGGGGGGTCCCCTCAGCCTGGTCTGTACCCTCTCCAATCCAGGACCCCTTGGGGGACATCCCTCTCGCAATCTGGCACCACTGGCTCCTAACCGCTTGCCTGCCTGTCTGCCTGCCCACCTGATTGCCCCCTAACTGCTCCCCTGCTGGCCTGATCGCCCCCTAACTGCTCCCCTGCCAGCCTGATCACCCCCTAACTGTTCCCCTGCTAGCCTGATCACCCCCTAACTGCCTCTGCCTGTCAGCCTTATCACCCCCTAACTGCCCTCCCCTGACGGCCTGATCACCCTTACCGCCTCTGCCCCTGCCACCATGGCTTTGTCCAAAAGGACATCCGGAAGATGTCTGGTCTAATTAGCATATTACCCTTTTATTAGTATAGATTATCTTTTAAACTATGATTACCCAGAGTAAACTGCTTATTTTGGTTGTTAGAGTAAGAATAACAAGTCTCTTGCAACTTTCTACAACTAAATTAAAAGTCTTTCTGGAGAGAGAAAATCAAGATGGCGGCATAGGTAAACACCGGAGTTAGCTGCCTCGAACAACCACTTCAAAATACAACTAAAAGATGCAACGGACATCATCCAGAACCACAGGAAGACTGGCTGAGGGGAAATTCTTCAACTAGAAGGAAAGAGAACAGCATACGAGACTCAGAGGAGGCGCAGTGCGGAAAATATAAAGGTGCGGAGGTACGCGCGGAGTGGGCTGGTGGCTGAGGGCGCGGTTGGCGTTTTCAATCGGGAGGGAGTCTCAGATTCTGAGCTCCAGTTCCGGGCGAGTCTCTGGGGACCCAGACTCAAACGGGAGAAACAGGACTGTCTGGCATCGGTCGGGAACGCGAGGGCAATTTTCTCTCCGAGGTTTGCAGCAGTTGCTGGGACTCTGAGAGGCAGAGCCTCTGGGGATGGGACTGAGGGCAGCCATAACTGCTCCCTCCACCCGCTCTGTTGATCCCGTGCAACCCGCCCCGCCCAAGCCCTGCACAGAGCCATTTGCTGGATAGCCTCAGGCAAAGGCTAGATTAGCACCTCCCTAGAGGACAGAAGTTTTCCCACTGCAGACACAGCTGATTCTCACAGCCAACTGGCCTGGAGGTCAAATCCCCCCAGTATCAACGACAACAATCAAGGCTTACCTACAACAAGACTGCGCACAAAGAACACTAGGGGGTGCACCAAGAAAACCTAAAAAAATGCGGAGACAAAGAAACAGGACACAAATGTCAGAAATGGAAGATATAGAGTTCAAAACCACACTTTTAAGGTCTCTCAAGAATTATCTAGAAGCTGCCGATAAACTTAGTAAGGCCCTCGAAAAGACAG